GAGGGGAGAGGGACGCATTCAAGGGCGCGGTGGAAGAAGAGAAGAGAGAAAGGCCCAACCCGTTTTCTCCGCCTTTCTCACTGCTCTAGCTCGCACGCTCTCTTTTCCTTTCTGGTTCAATTATTGTTTTCAGTTTTCTGAGTTCTGATATTGTCATGATAACAACGTTCTTCAAGAACCAGCCAAACGTCACTATAAAAAAGCCTGGGTAAACAGAACCTTTTTACATTGAGTTGTGATGCGTATGCAGAGAGCCAGCCAATCTGTATCCAATTTAAATTATACAGTTTATTAACAATTATATTTAATTAACTCGAGATTTCATGAAATGATACGAAGCGAACGTCGAATCAACTACCAGCTTAGGGAAATTGAGAGCCAATAATCTAATTGCTTTACATGTAGAAGAACACAACGAAACCTCTTTCATATAATGATTTCCAATTTTTTCTCTACAACATTTACATCAAACTTTTAGCGAAATCGTGCGCGGAATGAATTTTCTGTTTGAAACTTACAGCTCAGAACTGTGCACTCATCAGTTCATTCAACAATTTTGAGGTTTTTTCTTTTTTAAAAAAGTCGCTTACCGGTGAATGTCCTTCTATTTTTCTCGGGAATTGAATATTCAGTATAATACTTCTGAATCTTCTTCCATGGTATAAACGAGAATACGACACATTTTGTAGACGATCTCCAGCCATTGCCGAACACACATCGTTTATAGTGTTGTTTAGTGGACGATTGCTCAGCCAATCAGATTGCAGCATTTTCGGTCGTCTAATCGACAATTTATCGAATGAGGAAGATAGAAATACAAGTAACCCTACAGGTCACTGGATTTGACGAAGCGCCCTAAAATGTATATACGATACAGGTTTTATTGTTTAAGATCTGAAAAATGGTAAATCACATATGTATATATACAAATGTACCTTAATTACCTATCAAAATTTCGAATAGCTTCGGGGGTTTTCTCCATATCTTGTTGTCATGCACGCAATGACTTTTCACGCATCGGTTCGTTACTCTTGCAGAGTAACGACAGTAACGCAAAATTCAACGATATCAAACTCGAAATGGTCGAATGACTTACTTGGCTTACCTGATATTAAAATACGCAACTAAGGCCCTTCACTGCGCGACGGAGCAAAACGACCTTCCTTGGACCACCTTCTTTGTTTGAATGTTAGTTGAGAGACCTGACTAATCTACCTCCCACGGAAATTTTTTACAGATTAGTATTAACGCACATCTCTGTTTTGGAATACTACGGTTGCTACGGTAACCCAGGTAAGCCTTTTGGCAACAAAATGAATGTCTATTATTTAATGTTAATGACGAAATTATTTCATAGATCCTAGTTTTGGCCTTTACTGATGCACTGCCTTTACTTTTGTTCTGGTTGTAATAGGAGGAGACTTCAGTGCAAATGGTGATGGATCTGGATGTAAGTAGAAACAACAATGATCAAAGTTTGTATATAATAAATACTTGTCTTAACCACCGCAATAAATCAGATTCTATAGATCTCGTCATGTGTTAGTCTCCTTCGCAGCTGTTTTTTGGGATGTCACGCAACGCTCCCCCAAAGAAACGACTGCTCACATCCGAACCACATTCTTTTCCTTTTGTGTTTGTGGTTTGTTTGCGCTCTGTTGAACAGACCAATCACATAATAGCAAAGTGTAAATGACGTGAGCTTTCGCGCGAAAAGGGCTGCTGCGCGAACACGCGAGGGATCTCCGGCTTTTGTTTCACGCCGCACTTCGCCAAAAATAGACGTTGTTCGTAGGCTACGATCATGACGGACGAAAGGAAAATGCAAATGAAAGCCCTAAGTACAAGTGCTTCATGTGCTCATCGCTATGTTCAGCTAATGAGAGAATATATATTTTCTGGAAATGTCAAATTGTAAGCGTCAATCAAGGACTAAACGCTTCCTACAGATTGAAATCAGGAGGAAAGAGCGGCATTCAGAACTCGCTGTCAACAAATCGAGCGAAGCTACTTGATTTCCCGGTTCCTTTATTAAGTTAAAATAGAAATCTTCCTTCTCGACAATAATTTTTTGAGTTGAAAGCTTCTAATAATTAGCTTGAACTTTGAAGAGTCTTCAGCTACATAGAAAGCTAGTTCAAGCGTCGCCGGTATTTTTCGGCGTCCCTAAACAAAAGCCGGAAATCTGTATGTTCATTTGCGGCATCTCCCACGACGGGATACAAAGATAAAAACATTCTCTGATTGGACAAGTTTCAAAGGGCGAGTTTGAAGCGAAAACGTTCTTGAAAATGGAACGGAAGCGGTGAATGGTTAATTTCGTGAAAGGAATATGTGAGCAGCCGTTTCTTTGGCGGGGGGGGGGGNAAACGGCTGCGGAGGAGACTAGTCATGGTCAGTCATATGTATACCTTTCTGGAAATATCGCAGTCAGTCTGCTTTATGAGGCCTCATTAGGGGTCATCAGGACACTGGATATTTGGTAAAAGTAACGGAATACGGGATACTTACAAAAGAGATTCCAGGATATTGCTCAACAATGTTGTCTTTTTGCCAGAGAAATAATGAAACGGGTTCACTAATCAATAGAGACATTGTAGAAATTGAGGTAAAGACTTTCAAATGCATGTTCTGGTATTTTGCTGTCAAATCGTGAACCATCAGTTTACCAAATACTATGAGCACTAATCAAAGCATGGGCGGATCCAAAATTTTTCAAAGGCGGGTGGCTGCTTCCTCGGGGTTGCTGAATTAATGGAGCATGTTCCCAATTGTTGCAATTTGAAAACTGGAACGTAATTGAAAACCATTTCACTAGAAATACTAGCAATGCTACAAAGTAGAAATTACAATGACGTACCTGTCCAGAGAGTTTGCCTTTATTTCTGCAATAATATTCACAACCTTTTTCAATTTTTTTATGTTTTGCTTCTCCAAAATGGGGGTGGCTAGCCACCCAATTCAACTCCCCCCCCCTAAATCCGCCCCTGCAAAGACCCGCTTAATTAAGTCGTCAAAGAAAACGTCATTTTAATCGTAGTCAAAACTACTGATGTGTCTCCGTTTGTCAGTTCATATGAACTTTTTTTCCAGATTATAGGAGCAATTAATAGCTATAAAAACAGGCTATACAGACATTGGGGAGAAAATTTGTCGATGGGCTTTCTATACTGAAAACTTAAAAACACCTTAAAATAAGCTGGTTTGAGAGCTAGCGCCCTTGGTGTGAAAATAATTATGGGGAAATACTGGAACAGAGCCCCTCGGGAGCAGACAGCACATCGCGTCGGCACACAGGATCAGAACTTTGGAGACTAAATGTGACGTAAAATAACGATTTGTGCTATGTTGTCATTTCAGCCAAGAGTATCTATGGCAAGTACTTTGATGACGAGAATTTTATCCTGAAGCATTATGGGCCAGGCTGGGTGTGCATGGCAAACGCTGGAAAGGACACGAACGGCTCACAGTTTTACATTACAACTACCAAGACTTCATGGCTGGATGGCAAGCACACCTGTTTTGGAAAGATTTTGGAAGGAATGGTAAGTTTAAGCGTTTTAGTTTACCTTGTATCAATTTATTAATATCACTTGGTATATAAACGTCAAAAACACAGCTATCGATCCTCGAGGCTCGTTTTGCAAATACAGGCTATCAGTGAGCCAGGCTTACAGTCGTTTTGGCTTGCCTCAGATGAAGCTATCAGTAGGTGTTGCTGTTGCTGGTCTGGCAACACGTATAGTCGTTCTAGTTGTAAGTGCTTGGGTTAGCTTGTGTAGGAAAAGTGGCGCCGATAATTTTCCAGGAGCTTCGAAGAAGCTGTGGAAACGATGAGAATCTCTCGATAAGAACGCAAAACTTCCGTTTTAGTAGCAGCAGTGTCTTGGAGTGCTATATAAAGAAATCGGTCGCACACTTGACCCTTTTCACCTTGTGTTCTTCTCCATGTCATTACGGTTGTGCTGGACGTACGTTGAGATCTATTATGATCGATAATTATTATCCCTCGTTCTTTCTTTACAGAAAATCGTCAACGACATTGAAGGACTAGAGACTGACAAAAATGACCGCCCTAAACAATTGGTAGTTATCACTGATTCTGGTCTCGTGCAAGGTGTTCACTGGTCGTATGAAGTTCCTAAGACCGGCGTTTATGTTTAGTGCTCCTCTGTTATAACTTTCCTTAAAAACTGCAGAGTTTTATCCTATACCTAGCTGACTGCTTAACGAAAAAGTTGGATGTCATACAAGTTTTAAGATAAAAGACCTTGGTATTGAAACCCTGGTTTTACTTTGCCGTATTCCTTTGTATTCCAATGCTCTGTGTCTGAAGTAATAAATAAAAGAACATCCTGTACAAGTTACTCTCTGAATGATCTTTTCCACGTTACTCTTTATCGGCAGGGAGTTGACAACAACGTATTCCGTTGGGGTTTCAGGAGAACAAACTCTTTTGTCTGAAGGCAAAAAAATTGCCAAGAATCGGAAGAATTGAAAACTTCGCTGAGCAACCATAAAAATTCATCACATGGTATTGTTCAAAAAGTTTTTATTAGAGTTGACGGCCGCTCGTACTTTAAACTACACTGCATACATCTGCCCAGGTTATTTCGAAGCGAAAGATGTAAACTTTCACAGATATTCTCTCAGCAACAGTTTGTACGACATGACAATTTAGTTGATATATTTGATATATTTGTTTCCTTCATCTAAAGTGGCGTGCCTGTGAATAGTTAGGCGTAGCTAAGCGCATTGACCACTATAAACAACAACATTTGAACATTTTTGAACATTTTGAGGACGCAAGAACGCTAAATATTAGAGAGCTTAATATTAGAGTGGTCTGCGATTATTGATTTAGATCAGAATCTTGTAGTAGGAAGGTCTAAACAATAACGTACAGGCTCCAATTTTGATTAACAGTAGACACACCGAGGTTCACCCCATGGTTTTTCATGCCACAATTGTCATGTCACGTTTTCCTGCGTTTTGAATTTGCAGGGCTTTATGAAATGATTACACGCATGAGTGACATTACTCCCCTTTCCAATATCACCCTAGAGCCTGCGCGCTTTTGGCCAGCAGTTACCTAACGCGTGACGTTCTGGAGGAAATCCAGGAGGAGTCAAACAACAAAACCAGAAATGATCCTTGTTCTGGTTGGACTGTGCCCATGCGTTCAAGATCAATAACGGTTTCTGAACATGCGTAGAGAGAGTAACCGCTGTGACTAATTGTCTCACCTTCCTATTTTTCCCAGAGGCCTCGATTTCTTGGCGCTAACCAGAGAGATCGCGGTCTGAGCTTGTCCCCTTTGTTGAGATGTCGTTGAGATGTTTATTGAAAGGATGAAGCTTTCACCGCTGTCAGGTTGAAGGGAAGTCTCCGAGCTCGAGATAAAAACTACCTGCTGTCCCTGTTGTCAACAAAAGATCTGTTGTTAATACTTGTTGTACTTTACCTGAAAAGTCGCCCATTGTAAACAATAAAACCTTGACATAATCAACAGGCTCTGTCACACGAGGCATTAAGAATTAATACCTTTCACTTTCATCTCTGACTCCATAAAGTTTCCTTCTCAGAGTGAAAGAACGCTTTAGTTAGTAGTTAGCTTTTTAACCATGATTTTGCGAGCTTTATTACTTTGGGTGCTTTTGGATTTTCTCTTGGTGAATGCGGATACGGACGCGACTGTAACTCGTAAAGTGCTTTTCGATGTTTCTGTTGGTGGACAGCCGATCGGTAAGATTGTGTTGGGTTTGTTTGGCAACACAGCTCCCAAAACCGTCACCAACTTTGTATCACTCGCAGGAAATGAGGTTAGTTTGCTAGAAATCTGTTTACAGAAAAATCCTAAGTTTGAAATTTTTCCCATTATACATTATATACTAGCCTATCCTTTGTTTTCCAATGACTCATAAATAGTATGAATAGATTGATGGCAACTGGTTAAATCAAAGAGTTTGCATCGGCGAACACAAATGCTAGTTGTCGTGAGCAAAAAGTTAAGCTTGGAAATTAGTTACTCCCATGCAAACCAATTGGAGTTTGTTTTAATTTCAGAAACCAAGAGTAGATATCCTCTCCTGCAGAAAAACTTTTATTATTTGTGACTACGGGAGACTTACCTTGAACAAAAAAATTGTAATCTGTTCTGCAAACAACTTGTGGCCATCAAAACGGACAGAGCTATGTAAATCCAGTTATCGACAGCGTCTTGTTAATTTTGAACTCACAAACATATACCACGCATTTTTCATGCCATTTAACTAGCCATAGATGAACAATTTTCCCTGGCACAGTTTACATTCCAGAGGTTTATAATCACAGTTAAAAATTAACTTTCTCGTTAACTTATCTTTCAGTATGGCTACGGTTACAAAGGCAGCACTTTTCACCGAGTAATTAAAAACTTTATGATTCAAGGTTTGTTGAAAGTCAGTAGGCTAACTAAATTAAAGCTAGCTCAGTAAATCCACTCCACATGCGTAACATGTGTGTCTTACAAGTACAGAGAATGCTACCGAGCAAAGCACCTCTGCCCCTCTCAACCCAACCCCTTTTCCCGCCTTTCAGATGCGCAAACCGAAGCAATTTATCATTCATGCATTAGGAAACAATTGTTTTTGAAGTTATATATCACACACTAAAGTTTACTGTTACTTTTTGTTCTCAGTTTCCCAGTGCTATTGCTATTCGTACCAGTTGAGTTAATATATAATTTAAAATAAACTTGTTACGGTTATTAAGTCGGCGTCCCGGGAGGAGGAGGGGGAGGGGGGGTTGGGGGTACTCCCTATAACGGCCTATATGGGGAGGCTTCGCCCGAAAGGGGTACCTTTTTCAGGCTTCTGGTATATGAAAGGTGGGGGATTTCACAAGTTGAGGTGTATGAAAGGGTAAAGAAATCTGTCATTTAGGTATTTAAAAGGGATATTAATTAAAATATTTCGAACAGGCACTCCTTGCAGCCTTATCATTTAGTTTATTAAGCACTTCATTTCAAGGGTTTAGAAAGGGGGTGCAGTGTTCTTAAGAAGGTATGTGAAAGGCGTACCTTTTTCAATGAAAGGTATAAGAAAGGGGTACCTGTTCTGACAAAATGGTATACAAAAGCGTAAGGGGTTGGACCTCTAGGCGGAGCCTCCCCGTATAAAACTTTGTAGAGCGCCCCCGGGAGGTAGGTCGGCGTCCCCTCTTCTGTTGAGGTGGAATGATCGAATATATTTATTATTATTCAGTATTCTGATCCGGCAAGAGAACAAAAATAGAGAATTCCTTTAAAACAATGAAAAACTATGGAGTGTTAAAGGTTTTCTGTAATAAAAAGTTCTAGGTGTTGCGCGAATAATTTGGTGACTTCTGTGACCGGCGCACGTGCTTTATCGAGTTAAAATGCACACAACCAACGTCATGAGTTTGAGTGAGCGTGATTTCCTTGGTGGGAGAGAAATAGTCAACGACTTCCTCGCGCATTGTTGTTTATGTTAGTAACTCAACAATGCACTAGGGCTCATCGAATTTGCATATCTTACAGCACTGATCGCAGTCTTCACGCCCAAATAAAAGCCCGTACATGTTATCCGATAAAAATGGGCATGCCAAACAGTAAATTGGTGACACCATGCTCCTATTGCCTCCATTTATTTACATAATCAGTGAAGAAAACGGTCATCACTCTACAAAAAAAAATATATATATACATTTAATAAGAAAGGAAAAGAAAGGCGGCGTTCTTAACAGCGATGGCGTATGTTGCGTAGATACGTCAATGGTTACTATTTGATTTGAGAGATGCGCTATTGTATCAACAGAGGGAGACAAGAGGCGGCGTCTAAGGGCTGGTTTTGGTCCTCGTGCACTGTTTGCCATTCGTCTTCTTTAAAGTTCACCACCTTATAATGTATCTTTTGCAGGGGGGGATTTCACCAAGGGCGATGGCACTGGTGGTAGGTATCTGCTTCACCGTTTATTAGTTTGTTGTTGGTGTGGGTCAGTCCTTACATGACGTTAACCAGGCAGGAAGCTATGGGTGATTTATTATCTGATTACCTGTAGCTCGAAGCTTAGTGCCGTGCATTGACAACAATAATCATGCAGTTTTGTAAAACGATTTATATCAGCAGAATGCAGGATGTTTGCCACATGAACCAAGTCTAATGGCCTTACCCCCCATAAGTCTCTGTAGCTCAGTGGTTGAACATCTGGACTGGTTACCAGAAGGTCCTAGCTGGAGCTGGGGAGAACCCGGAATTCTTTTTTCGAGTTTGCCTGTGTCACGGACAAAAATCATCTCACGATATATATTGTAGGTTAATTACCGTCAGGCAATTACCTAAGACGTTGTTTATTTTTTTCGCCAGGGTATAGTATATACGGGGACAACTTTGAAGATGAAAACTTCGTTCTGAAGCATTACGGCCCTGGCTGGCTGTGCATGGCGAACGCAGGCAAAAATACAAACGGATCACAGTTTTATATCACTACTATAAAAACGCCTTGGTTAGATGATAGCCATACTTGCTTTGGAAAGGTCTTGGAAGGAATGGTGAATATTTTCGATTTCACTTATTAAAATTTAAAATAAAAAAACTAACACTTCCAAATTCCAATTCCACCTGGATACAGGACCCGCATGAAAACCAGCAAAGGCTGATGAATGTTTCTCTCTAAATATCGTAATTTATTTATTGTATTATTTAAATAGAGCCATTTTGGGCTGTAAAATAAACTAAACTACACAAAAGAAGACTGGTTTTCTTTCGAGAGCCCAGCACGAATGAAATTGGTTGAAAGGAAGTCACTGTCCAGCTAATTTGATAAAGTTTTTGCGGCTTTTAATTCAAGAGTTAATGTTTTATTTTGAGAGGCATGATAGCGTGCTGTCATTGGGAGGGGATCAATTATTGTAGTCCTTTTCAAGGAAGACCCATATTAACGCAAGGAAGAATTGTTTTTTCTTATTGGCCTTGATTTCATTCTGTGGAGCACTATCCCTCCGTTCTTCGCATGCTTTTCGATCCACTCATTGTGGTGCATTATATCAAGTTAACAGGGAATTGTCATTATATCATGTAACTGTTTTCAGTCCTCCCCCCAAAACAGAGTTCGACATTATTACATTAGTTTCCTTGTATTGTGGGCCGTATAAAGATTTCCTGGCTGTGGGACGTAACCCGAGTCTGATTAGTTTTTTAGAACAAATTTTCGGGAGTGAAATAGCGAAGTATATCGAGAAATGAGACTAACGCCTTGCTATTATTACCAGAAAAATGAACAGTTGTTTATGCTTAACAACCCACGTCCTTTTCTCACAGGATGTAGTAAAGAAGATCGAAAATGTTCAAACGGGCAGTGCAGACAGGCCAGTGCAGAAAGTGGAGATCACTCAGAGTGGAGTCATAGAAGTGCCAGAGCCTTTTGAAGTAGCAAAAGATGGAGTTGTCGCCTAGAAAATTTTTAATTCACTCTGAACTGTTACAGAATCTTTTTAAAATTAAACCTTTCTTTTCCTTTAAAATTGAGCTGTCGGGACGTATTTTTGACGATTGTACTCCTATTTATTTTGAGGAAAACCCTTAAATTCTGAATAAGACAAGGGAAAACCCGAGATCACGAGAGTGGAATTTGTAACCAGTTATTGTCGATAATAATTTACCAGGAGGTTTCCTGTATTTGTATATTTCTGTTTGTCTTTTATTACATTTCCTTGCTGATGAAACACCCTTAAAATCTATTTAAAACACGGTAAACCCCAAAGCATGCGAGCGAACATTTTAACTAGTATCACGTCCCCGTAGAGAACCGTTGTGCTGCTGTTCACGTGATGTGGACCAACGAATCACCGTAAACTATACCAGTTCGATCAATCTATGATTAGACATTGCAAGCGTGATCTTCCTGTTTCTCTTAGGAAAACAGTAGAAAAAAACAGAAACTTTTTGTTGAGAAGACTAAAGACAAAATCTTGGAGATTTACAACAGCGTCCAACAAACACCATGGCCCACAACATCAAAATGTCACAACTGACGTCGAACTTTTGTTCGTCATTGATTTCTTTAAAAAAGACATATTCTTATTCCACTGAAAGATTCACAAGTGCTTTAAAGACTGAAAATGATTTCGTATTTTTTGCTAATAACAGTTAATTCGAACACCAAGTGACTTCTTTGCCTTGTTTGATGGTGATTGCACTAGGATACTGAAAGCCGCTGACCTCAAGTACTTGTAAGGATATGTCACCTGAGGTCGACAAAATTTCAAACTTTTTTGTTTCTTGGTTCTTTCTGTGGGGTATGTGAAGAAAGGTACATTGTAAAGTACCTGTGGCGAAAGGTGTGTAAAACGGCACTTTGTATGGACAAGGAAGTTTGGGATCAAATGAAAGTGTGGCATTTGGTGCCGAGAAGGACTGGCCCGAAAGAGCAAAAGGAATGTGCCATAACACCATATGAAAGGTGTAGTGCGAAGTGCACCATGGGAGACCATCAAGGCCGTACCCAGTCCCAGAGTAGAGACCGTGAAAATTCCATTGGTCGTTAAGTCCAGAGCGCACGTGATTAATAGCTTTCTTTGCTTGTTGTAAGGCATCTTGGGCATCAAAGCCTGAAATTGAAAATTTATTATCTAAGAATAGAATTGCATAAATTATAGACTCTTTGACTTCCATGAGGTTTGCAAAACAACAACCGAAAGCTGTGACGTGTTGCAATTTGGTAGTGTGTATTTGTTAACAATAATATCCATGATGAATATACATGAAGGAGAACTCCTAATTCACACAGCCTACTCAGTCTTCTCCTCATTGCAGTTTGCGATACAATCACCAACATGAAATACCCAAAGAGAAACATTATCATTGTTATTAGAGGCACGAGCCAACTTGCCCATAAATCAGACAATGCGGCCTCCCTGAACGGGAAGAGCAGCAATTTTAGCCATGAAGCAGATGACACGGTGATCAGTTAAGTAACTTTTCGTGATTTTTGTCAGAAACAAGATCTTATCTTACCTAAATGTATCTGAAGTGTTGTCCAATCAGGACTGCTTCCAATCCATATTGATTCGTGTAACGCCACCCTGTTGTTTAACTGTGCAGTGGAGATATCCTTTGGACACGATCCCACGCTCTTGTTAGTAGGGGGGTCAGTAGCCATCACTCGTAGCCCATATGGGGTGTCGTTGATTTCAAGTTCCTTCATTAAATGAGATCTTAGCCTAAACAGATGGACAAAAATAACAAAGAGCAAAACCAATGCTGACAATTAAAAGTGTTAAGAATTTTCTGAATAGGAAAGTGGTCTGTAATTAGCTCTTATTAACCGAGCTGGAGGTCTGTATGGGAGAATCTTGACCGAGGTCGTGAGTACAGACCGAACGTAGTGAGGTCCGTACACACGACCGAGGTCAAGATTCTCCCATACAGACCGACTTTGCTCGGTTAATAAGATGTTTATCATATGGCAAAGAAGAAAACTTTAATCGTTTAATGTAACTGGTTTGCTGACAGTTTGCTTGCGAACGGCGATGAGCTTAACTTAAACCTGCCGAAATTTGCTCGTCCTCTTTACTTTTTTTTGTNATCTAGACCGCGGTCAATATCGATTTCAGCCAATCAAATTCGTGAATTCGGTAGTTCCCAGTCTTTGTGAGACACAGCCATATAATAATAGAGCATATCAGTACCGTATTGAATGTGGTTTCATGGTGTCGTACTGGGTACAGCAGGACAGACCTAAGTTTTTTTTCTGAAAGTGCACCGATTCTCAGGAAGCGAAACACTTCAGACCACGCATGAGATACCGTGGTCACTAACCGTACACGGGGCTTTTCATGAAATTTTTATCAGCTTTCTTTTGGGTTTGCAAACGTATCAGGAACCAGTAAAGACACCTGCAACATATCGGTCTGTAGCTACTTTGACTGAACAATACTTATTCTCCCATTATCAAACCCCAAGCAGCCGATATTTTAGTTGAATGTTATAACAAAAACTCCCAACCTAGACCTTCTAGAATGTATTTATAAACTACAATATTTAACCTAGTCAGGCTGTATTTCGTACAGAATCACTGATGAGCCAAAATCGGCGTTAATTCTTACCTGTTTGGTTCGTCCAAGTGTCCTAACCCCAAAGTATAAGCCCAGACCTGGGCGTATAGTGAATCACTCATGAGCCACGAGGCTGAACCTTTCTGTTTATCCCACCAAGCATGATAGTAACCGTCTTCCTCGCTCCAGAGTTCTTCCGAGATAGTGTATCTCGCAAACTCCATCGCAATTGTAACTTCCTTCCATAAACTGTGGTCATCCATAATGTTACATAACTCCTGTGCGGCACGCAAAGCCAATACATACAGGAAACTGTTGAAGATGTTGTGATCATACAAGTTGAGATCAAGCTGATCGTATGTGCATTGTAGTTTGTAAGGTAAACCAGTGCCTTGTGTTCCCTTGAAAATCATCCAATCGACTGCCTTTACCACATGTGGCCACATGTCTCTCAAGAACTCGCTGTCATTGGTCCACAAGTAAATGTGATACGTTTCTACGACAAACACAGTCGTGACGTCTCCCATTAATCGTTGAATTGCTGGCCCACTATGAAGAAAACAGTCGTTATTATTTTCGAGCGTTCTTATTTTTACGGGAAAGAACTTTCAGCTCTTTTTCGTGGCTAATTGTCAAAGAAGTAGCACTCACTACAGAGAAAATTTTTATTGTTCTGTGCTACAAATTTTAACAATATACTTTTTCTTACTTTAGAAAAAGAGCGTTTTCAATGAGTATTATCAGAAAGCTGTACAGGTGAGGGTATTTTGCGGCAGGGTAGGACTCACCTGTCAATTTTTCTAGTGCGTGAGTAACAACCGGCAGCTAATGTTTCCACAATATGGCCGTCTTTACTCTGATACTTTGCCCAGGCTCGCATCACATTCTTAACCAAGTCAGGATAAAACAGAACATACGGGATCTCCCGCTGAAAGTCGTTATGAACTGAATCCATGTCGATACAGTCTAGAGCCTCGAATTGACGCCATCTTCCATCACGGAGGTAGAGCCCAGTACGCCAGAAACTCAAACCATTTACTAAGACATCCTGCAGCCACTTGGGGAGGGTCTGGACCGAGTCTGTGGTGTTGTTAAGAATCATAGACGAATGCCAGGACGAAATAACTTGTACAGTTGAAGCTAAGTCACGTGACATATGTAATGCGGCTTCCTGGCTGGATTTGAAGATGTTACTGTAGTAATTACCCACATTTTCCACTGCAAAGAAACAGTAGATAATACTAATAACAATAATACCTGTGATATATATACAACTATCAGCAATTCATTAATAATGGTAATAGGACTGAGTGGAGTCCAATTGGGTCTGTAATCATACAAGTGATTGACAAAATCGGACAACTGCGAAGCGAGAGTTCGATTTGTTAATCACGAGTATGATTACAGACTGAANAAAATTCGAGAAACGAACAAACCATCGATTGAGCGCTGAACGATTAAACGTCGTTATGAATGCTTAAAAACACAGCAGTTTACCCAACAAAGTGCACCGCAACAGCGCCCGCAAAATGACGCGTACTGTCCAATTACAAACATGACGCGTGCACTGTCCAATTAATGCTCAAATCGGGCTGCTGATAGCCAATCACGTTCGAGAATTTTGTTATAGTTTTGATTAAAATCAATAGCGTACCTGTGAAATCTCTATTGGGATAAAACCAGCCCAACACCATAGTCAGTGTGTTTTCTTTACCAGGCCTCACAGTAATGTTAACAGATGCAGCGCCATGAAAACCCGCTCCAAACGATTTTTCTGTTGATCTCAGGTACCCATGTTGGCTAAATTGCTTCCATATTTGTCTAAAACCGTTACTGACCATGAATGAAGGGTTGTCTTCCTTGTCAGTTGCAATGGAAGTGTTTCCACTCTGAGGGTACTTTCCAGGTCTGTTAAGCGTCAGCACCGAGTCACAAGCTGTCCACGCGTTTTTCTGACCAGAAATGGTTCCTTGCTGCCACGCATGAGGAGGCACTTGATCGAACAACAAACATGTTTTGTTTTTTACATCTACTTGCCATGACAGGCATTCCAAATCATCTACACACGTTTTAGAGCATGAAGTAGGGTCAGAGTTGCTCACTTTGAAGCTTTTGGTTGGCTTTCCATACCTTTTTGTGTCAGTCTGAATACCTAGCGGTAGGTTTAACATGAATGACACCTTGATAGACTTCTTTGTTGGGTTTTTGATGCGTAACGTAAAAGCAATGGCAGGCGTGGCTGACGTTTTGGAATCACGTGGTTTCAAGGCTGAAAATGCAAAAAGGTCCAGTTTGACGTCACCAAATCGTTTATCTCGTATGGTAAGCTTGGAGACTGGGTATGAGCCAGAATAACCCAAGGACGCAACACCTGTCAAATAGAAAAATCAAAATAGTAGTAACAACAGTACTCTGACTGCCCTGTGCAACGTGACTAACTGAGCTAGCTCGAAAATATAACGATCAACACGATCGTTGTTCATCTTCTTTCTTTTAACGGGGCTACGTGGCATTCTTATCATGACAGAGTATAATTCAGCTTCAAGTACTATTTCAAGTAAGGACTCATGGCAAGAGTTCCGATCTTAAGTGATAATTTTGTACATGTTGGGTTGCTTCCCCTCACTGAGGTTTTCAAATTTTTATTTCTGTTTCTTGAATAGACGAAAAGATAGCTGTCAAAGATAACAAGAGGGACTGCATGGGGTGCTGGTATCTCACTTATCAGTTCAAATTTTCAGCCCATTTCTCAGTTATCATGTGATGTCAGCTATCAGTGAACCCAAACGCGCCATTTCTCAATTGTCAGTTTAAATGTTGACCGTTTCTCAATAGCCTATCAGTTAAATTCCCATACTGAACCTCTGACAAGTTACTCGGCGGAGAAAAAATGTTGATGAACTCTAAGGATAACTCCCACAAAAACTTGTGACGTATCCGTCTTTACGTAATTAAGATAATTACCTGGATATCCCTTGGGAGGGTGGGTGCGCATCAGTAGTGCTGTGTTTGAGGCACCAGTGTGCACACGGACACCGAACACAGCTAGATCCAGAGCCGCTTGATTGAGTTTGGCCGAGCCTGCAGGAGTCTGGTTCTCGATCGTCCACTCGTGGATAGAGCCATCTCCACGGAGCTCAAACGATCCCGTTCCTGAAGACAGGGAAATGAAATAAGCATGTTAAAAAACATGTTAATTCAGCAAAAGTCAACTATTTCATTGTCTCTGAACATACAGTAATTCCTTCTCATGTACGTACACATTCTTCCACAGTTGTCAGTAAGCATGTAGTCATGTTTAAGACAGCCTCATCGAGTGTTCTATCAGTTTCAAGAAATGACTTACCAAGGCCACCCAAGGGAACTGCACTGCGCATACCTCCTGGTGGTGACCGCTGCTTCTTTTGATTTCCTGGGTTTTCAAACAAGTAGCTTCTCAATCCCAATGAATCCCAGCCAAATCGAATAGTTGAAACATTTTCTGGTTCAGAATATAATACGCAGAACTGCTCCCAACCAAACCTTTGATTGGCATGGACAAACGAAGGACCATTACGGAACTGAAGCGTGTCAAGATACGGGTGAAGATCGAGTTTCTGTCCTGTGAATGAAGACAACACCTGGCTCAGTTTCTGTAATGACTGACAGGAGATTCTACGTGGTATTACTTGTCCCATATCAGTAGTTAGTGGTCCCGTTTCATTGCCTAGTTGCCATGCAGATGAAAGCGACTGGGTTTCTATTTAATTTCTTATAATGTTGTTTTCTTTAGGCAGCAGTTAGAACCCGTATGCAGCACGCAGTTTACATGGCATGTTATCGACAGGCCATTTCCTTCTTTTGCCTCAGTCAAAACAAGTCTTCGTGTTAAACCATTCATCTGAAAATGTGTTTTACCTGCGCGTTCACTACCATGCAAATCAAACTCATCTTCACGTAAAAACTTTTGTACGAGGACTCGTTTTGATACAATGGCAAAAGGTAACTTGGAAATGGCCTGTCATTAGCTTCCTCGGCGATACTTCTAAATCCCTCTCGCATTTTGTCACAGGTATCCCAAGCTCCTTGGGGGCCGTGAACATTATATATATACATTTACTGATGAAGCTGAAACCCGCTGAAATCGCGTTGAAATGGCCCCAAAACGGCATGGAGACAAATGTAACACACAGAAGAGTCGAAGTAAGTCATTTTTATTCGATTTCTTTTCCATATTTCGAACTATTACATACGATCGTTACATTCCCATGCAAACTCTTATATTTACGCTGTTTGTTCACCGCTTCCAAGGAGCTTAGGATACCTGTGATTTTGTTTCGATGTGTTAAATTTGTTTAGTTTAAGAAAATTGTGCTTCACTATGGAAGATCCTAGTTTGTTCGCATCCATGTTTGCAGAAACGTCACAGGAGCGCATTTGAAATAAAAAGGAGATAAAGGCTGCGAAAACAAATCTGCAATCGGGTCGTGAGCTGCGACTGAACAAATCTGTGTATAGCGAACGCCTCGAACTACGGGCGATTTACGGACAGCGAGTAAGGAAGCCACGGCTCGATGCGAAACTAAAAGCAAAATGTTTGCAGTCTAGCTAGGATGTGAAGCACGAAAGCCGATCAAGGAGACTTGCTTAAATTGATTCGTGACTAGCAGAGTCTCGCTTGATCTTCCAAGAAAAAAAGGAAGACTACTCGCAACGTACTTGACAAAACGTATACCATAATGTTTTTAGAAAAGGTTCTGAACTGTATTTCATAATTAACGAGACAAAATATCACATCTTACCTGCTAACACTGCTCCAACCTGGTAAACAAGGAAAGCTAATACTATCATTTTAGTCGTCCTAACACTGAGATTCCGTGTAGTGGTTCCAACTCCTCACGTTGACAATTGTGATATTTGCTGTGAAACAAGATCAACCTGCCTTTCCAACGACTATCGTCATCAAAGCGTTCAACCAGAAATGGTCCACTTTGGAACCAATAGAAACGTTTATTTCGGCAAACAAAACTCGTCAAGAGCACTTTGTTTTTAAAATATCGTCTTGCTTGTGGTATCCCGACGTTTGAGTACAAAATGAACCGAGGAAATGACCAGCGACCAGAATTTTATCGGTGAAAATGAAAGAAAGATTGTGCTATAGTCATGGACGTTCTGTCAACAGTCCTATCAACGAGATGGTGAAAACTCCGTAACGTGACCAAATCGTCTTGTTGTTCAGGCCTTCCTCTCAAAATTAACTGCGTCGTTTGATGACATTTATATGGAAGTTCGAGTCGAAGTTGTTTTACTCCTTACCGTAGATAAGGGAAGATGAATAATCGTTTAGAAAGTAAATTAGCTCATTACTATGTTAAGTTTGTCTTGTGTTAGTCTCGTGATCATCCAACAGTCCCCGGGGATCAGTACGCAGTCAAGGTCATCGCGAATTTGCAGCCCTCGGGAGAAATAATCCCTCGAGTTTGGACTCGAGTTCGAGTTAGACTTCGAGTTAGACTTCGAGTTGGACTTCGAATCGGTTTTCGAGTTGAAGATCGAGTTAGACTTCGAGTGGAAATAAATTTGACAAAAGATAAAGGCGAAGATAGGCAAAGACCAAACAAAAGGAACCAATCAACCAAATTAGCCTTTCCGGCTTTGTAGCCCGGGAGCAGTCAATTGTTTGTTTTTTTTTTCTTTTGGTCACTTCTTCTTTATTATTTATTTATTTTTGGTCATTTCTTCTTCATTATTTATCGTATCTGTTAAAAATCCTCAATTGTGATTGGGGATCCGCGAGCCAAATATCACGTAATCGGCGAGCGATGACGTTGGTGTTCAATTACTGGTATCCACTTTGAACTTTTCCTAATTTGATACTCAGGTGACTCGCTCGTCAATTACGCGCGCTTTAATGGCGTCCTTTGTAATGTCGTTACAGACGTTTACCCTCAAAAGACGTTTTCAATTCCGGAATCTGTTGGATAATATTAATTAGTCATTTACTCGCGCCAGATTACTCCCTGAACTGTACTACACGAAGTCCAGCTACTGTTATTAATCTTCATCGTCATCGTCATAGTCCTCAACATCATGATCATGATCATGATCATCATCATCATCATCATCATCATCATCATCGCAATAAAAACATGTAACTTGTATTTTTTTTAATGTATTGAAGAAAGTGCCAACACAAAAGCAATCAAATCGGTACAAGTTTACTTCGAGGCAGATCTTTTAACTCTCTTGTCTGCAAATACCGATGTATTGAGCTCCGAGTCAGATTCATCAGAGTTAAAGAAATAACAAAGACGTCAAATATTAACAACGTCAAATAACAGCCACAATGTTATTTGATGTTGGCGATAGTACATTCCAGTCAGCTGGACCTTATCTTTGGAATGTGTTACTTTCAACAATTCGCAACATAAAGACACTGGACACTTTCAAGACTGCAGTTAAAATTCATTTTTCTTAAATTTAGCCTTCAAATAGATTTTCTTATCTTTTAACTAGTTTAATGACTAGGCAATTACCGCCTTTGATTGCATATAGGCTTGTAGTTTTTAGTAGTTCCTTATGTTCTTACTTGCTTTTAACATAATTTTACTTTGACTTAATTTGTCTTAATTTGACTTAATTTGACTTTATTGTTCTCTTTTATTATGCTATTTTATTATTTGTTTTACTATATGCGTATCTTTAATTTACACTGTCAATTAGTTTTACGTGTTTCCGGTACTACGAAAATCTGCCACATAACACAATGTTAAATTCTCATTGTATCTGAAGAAGGTTGGTTTGGCCAGCCGAAATATCGTATACCTTCAAAAAATCATCCTGCGTTGTGTCGGTTTCTGCTTTTATATTCTCCATTTTATATGTTCAGCCGATTAGATCACTATTGTTTTAACGTATACCAGCAGGATCATCGTTCCGGTTGCTCACTGTAATTTCTGACCGCTTTGCCTACCCGTCAAGATGGCAGGTCTGTGCTGTGCCTCTTGGACAGGCGCATAAGCAATAAAGCCAAGTACAGAAAAATAAAATCCCAAAACGGCAATTCTTCCTTCAGTCTCTTCTGAAATACCGTTTTGATCCATGGTGAAAAGAAGACTTACATTGTATCACCACGTGCATCTTTCTGACGATCATTTTTCTCTGGCGATGAAGTTATCTCTATGATTGTTTCCTCGCTGAAAACAGGGGCATGTTTCAGCGTTAATTTTCTAAAATAAATCTTTCAACTGTAAGTCTTCATAAAGTAACTTAAACCTATCTTTCCATTGCCAATTCCACGATGGCCAGCAAGCAGGCTGATGACAGGACCTGAGATCATACCACGTTATGCCGGTCTGTTATCCAGAAAATGTGTCATTTACTTAACACAAGATGACCACGTGGACAACGTTAGAGTCACGCACGACGCGTCACGCCACTTGACTTTCTTAACAGAGATCGTTGGCTCATGGTTATATGACCATGCAATTAGCATATAATTTCCTCCTCCTCCATTTTTTTTTATTTTGTTATTTATATCTGTTATTTGCATTTTTATATATTTTTTTATCAGATGTCTAACTCGATCTTCAACTCCAAGTGCAACTCGAAGTCTAACTCGAACTCGAACTCGAATGCAAACTCGATGGTTCGGGATTCCCGCAGCCCTCACATACCCTTGTCATCCCTGTAGTTTTGTTGTTAGTTTTGTCTAGGTTCTCAAGCGCTTAACAATTTTTCCCACGATACTCATGTTTGGGGAGTCACCATCCAAGTTATGTTTCCATCGTACCCATCGCACTCCATCGGTACCTCTTCGCAGGAGCGCACGGAGACCTGACTAAACGGGCGAGAGTTGTCTTGTTTTTTCTACATCCTGTTTTTCCCGTCACGAGAGTCTGATACCCGCTGGAACTGTTGTGGATTGATCTATAACATGTTATAAAGTGCAGTTCTCAGTTCCTTAAACCTAACATCTTTTAGTTTTGTTGTGTTTAAAATATTCCCAAAGAGAAAACAAATGCGATTAAAATTTCGCGGAATATTTTTCATGCTATTCGGTAATGGTTATCTGTAAAATTCTGAATAATGACGAGATGATAATTTTTTACGTAAGAATAAACACATTCTGTTTATGGTCACGTTCTTTTGACTGAGATGTACAAGTTGTCATATGCTCATATTGTACTGGTAAAAGAAAATATGATAAACACGCAACTTTATCGAGTCAAAATCAAAGGCTCTTTAAACCAACTCGTGATATTTGAAACAGAAGTGTTTATATGATACATACGGACAGGGNATGAGGAGGCACTTGATCGAACAACAAACATGTTTTGTTTTTTACATCTACTTGCCATGACAGGCATTCCAAATCATCTACACACGTTTTAGAGCATGAAGTAGGGTCAGAGTTGCTCACTTTGAAGCTTTTGGTTGGCTTTCCATACCTTTTTGTGTCAGTCTGAATACCTAGCGGTAGGTTTAACATGAATGACACCTTGATAGACTTCTTTGTTGGGTTTTTGATGCGTAACGTAAAAGCAATGGCAGGCGTGGCTGACGTTTTGGAATCACGTGGTTTCAAGGCTGAAAATGCAAAAAGGTCCAGTTTGACGTCACCAAATCGTTTATCTCGTATGGTAAGCTTGGAGACTGGGTATGAGCCAGAATAACCCAAGGACGCAACACCTGTCAAATAGAAAAATCAAAATAGTAGTAACAACAGTACTCTGACTGCCCTGTGCAACGTGACTAACTGAGCTAGCTCGAAAATATAACGATCAACACGATCGTTGTTCATCTTCTTTCTTTTAACGGGGCTAACGTGGCATTCTTATCATGACAGAGTATAATTCAGCTTCAAGTACTATTTCAAGTAAGGACTCATGGCAAGAGTTCCGATCTTAAGTGATAATTTTGTACATGTTGGGTTGCTTCCCCTCACTGAGGTTTTCAAATTTTTATTTCTGTTTCTTGAATAGACGAAAAGATAGCTGTCAAAGATAACAAGAGGGACTGCATGGGGTGCTGGTATCTCACTTATCAGTTCAAATTTTCAGCCCATTTCTCAGTTATCATGTGATGTCAGCTATCAGTGAACCCAAACGCGCCATTTCTCAATTGTCAGTTTAAATGTTGACCGTTTCTCAATAGCCTATCAGTTAAATTCCCATACTGAACCTCTGACAAGTTACTCGGCGGAGAAAAAATGTTGATGAACTCTAAGGATAACTCCCACAAAAACTTGTGACGTATCCGTCTTTACGTAATTAAGATAATTACCTGGATATCCCTTGGGAGGGTGGGTGCGCATCAGTAGTGCTGTGTTTGAGGCACCAGTGTGCACACGGACACCGAACACAGCTAGATCCAGAGCCGCTTGATTGAGTTTGGCCGAGCCTGCAGGAGTCTGGTTCTCGATCGTCCACTCGTGGATAGAGCCATCTCCACGGAGCTCAAACGATCCCGTTCCTGAAGACAGGGAAATGAAATAAGCATGTTAAAAAACATGTTAATTCAGCAAAAGTCAACTATTTCATTGTCTCTGAACATACAGTAATTCCTTCTCATGTACGTACACATTCTTCCACAGTTGTCAGTAAGCATGTAGTCATGTTTAAGACAGCCTCATCGAGTGTTCTATCAGTTTCAAGAAATGACTTACCAAGGCCACCCAAGGGAACTGCACTGCGCATACCTCCTGGTGGTGACCGCTGCTTCTTTTGATTTCCTGGGTTTTCAAACAAGTAGCTTCTCAATCCCAATGAATCCCAGCCAAATCGAATAGTTGAAACATTTTCTGGTTCAGAATATAATACGCAGAACTGCTCCCAACCAAACCTTTGATTGGCATGGACAAACGAAGGACCATTACGGAACTGAAGCGTGTCAAGATACGGGTGAAGATCGAGTTTCTGTCCTGTGAATGAAGACAACACCTGGCTCAGTTTCTGTAATGACTGACAGGAGATTCTACGTGGTATTACTTGTCCCATATCAGTAGTTAGTGGTCCCGTTTCATTGCCTAGTTGCCATGCAGATGAAAGCGACTGGGTTTCTATTTAATTTCTTATAATGTTGTTTTCTTTAGGCAGCAGTTAGAACCCGTATGCAGCACGCAGTTTACATGGCATGTTATCGACAGGCCATTTCCTTCTTTTGCCTCAGTCAAAACAAGTCTTCGTGTTAAACCATTCATCTGAAAATGTGTTTTACCTGCGCGTTCACTACCATGCAAATCAAACTCATCTTCACGTAAAAACTTTTGTACGAGGACTCGTTTTGATACAATGGCAAAAGGTAACTTGGAAATGGCCTGTCATTAGCTTCCTCGGCGATACTTCTAAATCCCTGTCGCATTTTGTCACAGGTATCCCAAGCTCCTTGGGGGCCGTGAACATTATATATATACATTTACTGATGAAGCTGAAACCCGCTGAAATCGCGTTGAAATGGCCCCAAAACGGCATGGAGACAAATGTAACACACAGAAGAGTCGAAGTAAGTCATTTTTATTCGATTTCTTTTCCATATTTCGAACTATTACATACGATCGTTACATTCCCATGCAAACTCTTATATTTACGCTGTTTGTTCACCGCTTCCAAGGAGCTTAGGATACCTGTGATTTTGTTTCGATGTGTTAAATTTGTTTAGTTTAAGAAAATTGTGCTTCACTATGGAAGATCCTAGTTTGTTCGCATCCATGTTTGCAGAAACGTCACAGGAGCGCATTTGAAATAAAAAGGAGATAAAGGCTGCGAAAACAAATCTGCAATCGGGTCGTGAGCTGCGACTGAACAAATCTGTGTATAGCGAACGCCTCGAACTACGGGCGATTTACGGACAGCGAGTAAGGAAGCCACGGCTCGATGCGAAACTAAAAGCAAAATGTTTGCAGTCTAGCTAGGATGTGAAGCACGAAAGCCGATCAAGGAGACTTGCTTAAATTGATTCGTGACTAGCAGAGTCTCGCTTGATCTTCCAAGAAAAAAAGGAAGACTACTCGCAACGTACTTGACAAAACGTATACCATAATGTTTTTAGAAAAGGTTCTGAACTGTATTTCATAATTAACGAGACAAAATATCACATCTTACCTGCTAACACTGCTCCAACCTGGTAAACAAGGAAAGCTAATACTATCATTTTAGTCGTCCTAACACTGAGATTCCGTGTAGTGGTTCCAACTCCTCACGTTGACAATTGTGATATTTGCTGTGAAACAAGATCAACCTGCCTTTCCAACGACTATCGTCATCAAAGCGTTCAACCAGAAATGGTCCACTTTGGAACCAATAGAAACGTTTATTTCGGCAAACAAAACTCGTCAAGAGCACTTTGTTTTTAAAATATCGTCTTGCTTGTGGTATCCCGACGTTTGAGTACAAAATGAACCGAGGAAATGACCAGCGACCAGAATTTTATCGGTGAAAATGAAAGAAAGATTGTGCTATAGTCATGGACGTTCTGTCAACAGTCCTATCAACGAGATGGTGAAAACTCCGTAACGTGACCAAATCGTCTTGTTGTTCAGGCCTTCCTCTCAAAATTAACTGCGTCGTTTGATGACATTTATATGGAAGTTCGAGTCGAAGTTGTTTTACTCCTTACCGTAGATAAGGGAAGATGAATAATCATTTAGAAAGTAAATTAGCTCATTACTATGTTAAGTTTGTCTTGTGTTAGTCTCGTGATCATCCAACAGTCCCCGGGGATCAGTACGCAGTCAAGGTCATCGCGAATTTGCAGCCCTCGGGAGAAATAATCCCTCGAGTTTGGACTCGAGTTCGAGTTAGACTTCGAGTTAGACTTCGAGTTGGACTTCGAATCGGTTTTCGAGTTGAAGATCGAGTTAGACTTCGAGTGGAAATAAATTTGACAAAAGATAAAGGCGAAGATAGGCAAAGACCAAACAAAAGGAACCAATCAACCAAATTAGCCTTTCCGGCTTTGTAGCCCGGGAGCAGTCAATTGTTTGTTTTTTTTTTCTTTTGGTCACTTCTTCTTTATTATTTATTTATTTTTGGTCATTTCTTCTTCATTATTTATCGTATCTGTTAAAAATCCTCAATTGTGATTGGGGATCCGCGAGCCAAATATCACGTAATCGGCGAGCGATGACGTTGGTGTTCAATTACTGGTATCCACTTTGAACTTTTCCTAATTTGATACTCAGGTGACTCGCTCGTCAATTACGCGCGCTTTAATGGCGTCCTTTGTAATGTCGTTACAGACGTTTACCCTCAAAAGACGTTTTCAATTCCGGAATCTGTTGGATAATATTAATTAGTCATTTACTCGCGCCAGATTACTCCCTGAACTGTACTACACGAAGTCCAGCTACTGTTATTAATCTTCATCGTCATCGTCATAGTCCTCAACATCATGATCATGATCATGATCATGATCATCATCATCATCATCATTATCATCATCATCATCGCAATAAAAACATGTAACTTGTATTTTTTTTAATGTATTGAAGAAAGTGCCAACACAAAAGCAATCAAATCGGTACAAGTTTACTTCGAGGCAGATCTTTTAACTCTCTTGTCTGCAAATACCGATGTATTGAGCTCCGAGTCAGATTCATCAGAGTTAAAGAAATAACAAAGACGTCAAATATTAACAACGTCAAATAACAGCCACAATGTTATTTGATGTTGGCGATAGTACATTCCAGTCAGCTGGACCTTATCTTTGGAATGTGTTACTTTCAACAATTCGCAACATAAAGACACTGGACACTTTCAAGACTGCAGTTAAAATTCATTTTTCTTAAATTTAGCCTTCAAATAGATTTTCTTATCTTTTAACTAGTTTAATGACTAGGCAATTACCGCCTTTGATTGCATATAGGCTTGTAGTTTTTAGTAGTTCCTTATGTTCTTACTTGCTTTTAACATAATTTTACTTTGACTTAATTTGTCTTAATTTGACTTAATTTGACTTTATTGTTCTCTTTTATTATGCTATTTTATTATTTGTTTTACTATATGCGTATCTTTAATTTACACTGTCAATTAGTTTTACGTGTTTCCGGTACTACGAAAATCTGCCACATAACACAATGTTAAATTCTCATTGTATCTGAAGAAGGTTGGTTTGGCCAGCCGAAATATCGTATACCTTCAAAAAATCATCCTACGTTGTGTCGGTTTCTGCTTTTATATTCTCCATTTTATATGTTCAGCCGATTAGATCACTATTGTTTTAACGTATACCAGCAGGATCATCGTTCCGGTTGCTCACTGTAATTTCTGACCGCTTTGCCTACCCGTCAAGATGGCAGGTCTGTGCTGTGCCTCTTGGACAGGCGCATAAGCAATAAAGCCAAGTACAGAAAAATAAAATCCCAAAACGGCAATTCTTCCTTCAGTCTCTTCTGAAATACCGTTTTGATCCATGGTGAAAAGAAGACTTACATTGTATCACCACGTGCATCTTTCTGACGATCATTTTTCTCTGGCGATGAAGTTATCTCTATGATTGTTTCCTCGCTGAAAACAGGGGCATGTTTCAGCGTTAATTTTCTAAAATAAATCTTTCAACTGTAAGTCTTCATAAAGTAACTTAAACCTATCTTTCCATTGCCAATTCCACGATGGCCAGCAAGCAGGCTGATGACAGGACCTGAGATCATACCACGTTATGCCGGTCTGTTATCCAGAAAATGTGTCATTTACTTAACACAAGATGACCACGTGGACAACGTTAGAGTCACGCATGACGCGTCACGCCACTTGACTTTCTTAACAGAGATCGTTGGCTCATGGTTATATGACCATGCAATTAGCATATAATTTCCTCCTCCTCCATTTTTTTTTATTTTGTTATTTATATCTGTTATTTGCATTTTTATATATTTTTTTATCAGATGTCTAACTCGATCTTCAACTCCAAGTGCAACTCGAAGTCTAACTCGAACTCGAACTCGAATGCAAACTCGATGGTTCGGGATTCCCGCAGCCCTCACATACCCTTGTCATCCCTGTAGTTTTGTTGTTAGTTTTGTCTAGGTTCTCAAGCGCTTAACAATTTTTCCCACGATACTCATGTTTGGGGAGTCACCATCCAAGTTATGTTTCCATCGTACCCATCGCACTCCATCGGTACCTCTTCGCAGGAGCGCACGGAGACCTGACTAAACGGGCGAGAGTTGTCTTGTTTTTTCTACATCCTGTTTTTCCCGTCACGAGAGTCTGATACCCGCTGGAACTGTTGTGGATTGATCTATAACATGTTATAAAGTGCAGTTCTCAGTTCCTTAAACCTAACATCTTTTAGTTTTGTTGTGTTTAAAATATTCCCAAAGAGAAAACAAATGCGATTAAAATTTCGCGGAATATTTTTCATGCTATTCGGTAATGGTTATCTGTAAAATTCTGAATAATGACGAGATGATAATTTTTTACGTAAGAATAAACACATTCTGTTTATGGTCACGTTCTTTTGACTGAGATGTACAAGTTGTCATATGCTCATATTGTACTGGTAAAAGAAAATATGATAAACACGCAACTTTATCGAGTCAAAATCAAAGGCTCTTTAAACCAACTCGTGATATTTGAAACAGAAGTGTTTATATGATACATACGGACAGGGGTGGTTAAGAAGATTTTGAGGGGTTTGTATGTTGCGTGACTCAGCATAAAACAATCATTAATTTACAGGTGGAACACTTGAGCTGTTATGATTGTAACTACCGATAAAGTAATGAGTTCCAACCAGGAGTCATAATCGGGGACGGAGACCGTAAACGCGCGCCATTTCTAGTATTGGGGTTGTCCCCATGATATGGGACAATTTTTCTATTTTTAGAACAAATTGCGCCATCGCCTGCCGCACACGCGCGTACATGCTGCGAGGATTTTTGCGGATGTCGCGCGGGGGAAATGGCATCCGAAATTCCCGAGCGTTTTCATGTCTTTGGCCCACAACTCAACGCGTTTACGTCTGTTGGAATTTTGCTTAAATATTTTCGTCGTAAGCTACTCCAGTTGGAGTGAAGTAAGACAGTGTCGAATTTAGGTATGTTCCGCTTTAAGCTTGTATATATCGCTGACCAAGTTGTGTTCCGATGCTTCTTTTACATAAGCTGTACATTACTCCACCGTAAATTTCACATATGTTGAAGATTAACAGCTTTTCCATGACACAGCAAAACACTAGCTGGATATTTTTAGATATAGCAGAGTTTCAGGACTTCATAGTTTCCTAGTTCCTCTTACCACACGCTTGCGAGGAATTTGCCAGTCTATCGCGGCCGAAAAGTAAAACAAAACAATTGCTAGTTTGAGTTTCGCCTGAATTGTAAGCAACGCTTGATGTTTCATCAAGGCCCAATAACTTTACGTCCGTAGATACTGCTCAGTTTTATTTGTGTAAAAATCCAGTAAATTGTCTTTTGTCGATGAATGAGAGCGTCCGCCGATGCGTGTTTTGTATAGTCAGTAAACATGACAAATTGTACTTCCGCCGCACTTTCATGTGAAAACCTACATCGAATTCAAACAATAACTCCAGAGTTTTTAAACATGTTTAAGATTGATAAATGTTTGAGAACATAAAACTAAGCTGAAAATGTGTGAATAAAGCAGAAATAATCAGCAAAGTTACGATAACGCTTTCTTTAATCAACCTCGAATAACGATTTCGATTTTGTTGATCGAGTTATCAAAACTCCTTGTCTAAAAACCCTTATAATTCGATTCCACATTGTGTTGCTTGTGTGGTTCATAGAGAGAGCTTGGGCTGCCTGTGGATTGAAGTCTTGTTTTCGACCCTGAAAAACCCACCTTTTCCGTTAGCTCAGAGCATAAAACTACCGTGATATAAGAGACCTGGTTCTTATTCCCTGCCTTATTCCCTGCCATCGCTGTGAAAAATCTACAAGAGAATCTCGCAACTCTCACCATTTGATCACGCAACGTGACAACATTCACGCGAGAAGCCCCGACACGTGCGTGGATCCGCGCGGATATATGGCATCAGGATGGCGCAATTTGTTCTAAAAATAGAAAATTGCCCCATATCATAGGTGCGCGCGGATCCCAAGACTTACGGTCTCCGTCCCCGATTATGGCTCCTGGTTCCAACAACAAAAAAACTGAGCGCAAATACAGTACTTTATATGTAAATAACTATAATCAACTTAATTCCTATCGCATGAGACAAACACCACGTTTTATTTTACCTAGCCTCTCCTCGCCATTGGAATTACGCTGGCCAGTCGAGGGCTATTCTGAGGGTTGTCAATCAATCAGCGGTTGATAGCTATTTGCTATTCATCAATTGCAAGTTGGTGAAGTGTTGCGGGTTCGAATCCTGGTGAGGGACCCTTTCTCCTCCCTAGCTACTAATGGTTGGTTTGCGTTTAGATAGGCATTGGAAAATAAAAATGTTCTAGCCATAAACGCTGATGTAATTCTATAAGAAAATGAGGCAGTATGGAGATTTGAAATAATTGGCGGAAAGAAAAAACCTTTCGAGCTTGAAACCCTCCCCCATGTTATTTGGGAATGCTTCGGTTAAAAGCTGTCAAAACCATAGATGAATCGAATCATACATCTACTTTTGTAGTATATCAAATGGTCTTTAATTTGGGAACGCTTGTTGGACTGCAAATGCGAAAGATCAGTTCATCGCTTCAATGGCAGACTTATCCACCAAGGAAAGACACATGTCACTGAAATGAATTGCCCGTGAAGGCCAAGGAGAAAGTCGTACGGGAACTAGCCAAATGTTATATACGTACGTGTTTCAGCTATTCAAAAGCAACTGTTAGAGACAGTTTGCCTTACCGTGCCCCTCTGCGGGTCGCGTGATTTTTGTGACCATGTGCTCTTGGCAGTTTGGTGTGCGTTGTTTTGTGTGTAGGCGGAAAGTTTGCTTTTACCTTCGCCTTTTACTTTCTCGATGTTGACATCTTGATTAGGCCTGAAGATGCCCAAAAATATGTAAGTGGTCGCTCATTTGTATTGGTTTTTTTTTGTAATTCAATATTTGTTCGAGTCGCAAGCTTTACATATGTAACTTTCAGCTGTACCGAACCGACGGAAGGACGAGTAGCAGAATAAACATCTTCAGTGTACAATTTGTTTGTGGATTTTTTCAACAGCAACTTCCTCTAGAAAATTGCCAGTCTAGGAAAGTAACTATCAAGAAAGACTGCTAAGTGGGAAGGTAACGAGGATCATTTTTCTTAGGACTGCGAATCTAAGACCTGTAAGAAAACACTGCCATTTTAAGGGCCCATTAACCGATCTTTTCGAGCCATTGCTAAGGAAAATTTATTCTCATATACCCTCATCAGTTTTAGTTAGTTCAGAGTTATTTCATGTGTTTTAACTTGTTCATGATGAGTAACAGTGATGACGTCATCAGGCCACGCCCATGGTCATGTGACTAGTACAGAAAAAATGCAAAGGCTCCCAGGCAAATTACTTTATCTGGATTTTTTTCATTGATTTAATATTTTAATTTAAATCCTCACTACGCTATGCATCGATTTTGTTTCGCATGATTTTGAAAAAGGAATGCATAGCTATGTTTCCATTATTGGCTTTAATCGAAATTCGTCGAAAAAGGCTGGATTTAATGAAAAACCGCGTTTCCTTTAGCATTTAGAGAAACCGGAAGAGCGCCGATATATGTTGGAAGTTACCCTATCAGCGGGTGCGCAATTTACACTACCAGCGCAGTTCGGTAAGATCAAACAAAGCCACACGGAGTTAGTTTTTCTCTTTCTATTGCTCTTGTTTTTCTGTCTTGCTCTTATTTTGTCTTTGCTTGTACTTTTTTTACTTGGCATTTTGTGAAACACAAAGAAAAACATCTAAAATGTAAGCGAATTTGCAAGCTTTTGAGTTGTTATTATTTTCTGCGCTCAGGCTGACGTGAGTAACCGGAAGTGAAATTTCACCTCCTTAGCAACGGGTGCGAGTGCGCGTAGGAATCGGTTAATGGGCCCTTAAGTTTCATCTCTTTACGTTAAAAACATGTTCAACTTAAACAATAGTTTTTAGGAGAGGTCGAGACTGGCAATGTTATTCACTCCCATGAAAGTGGAGGAAAATGACATAGTGGCAACAGTCCAATCAATTATTCATTACAATCATCTAGCGGGTGAACTTCATTTGGTTTCGCGGTGAACAGCAGGTAACAAAAGTTCAATAACACGGCTATGGCGTTGAACATAAATGAACACATCTGGATCAAAGTAACATGTTCTTCAGAAATCTTTAGATCCATCTGAAGAGAGCAGCCCTATAAGAGGCAAATGAAGGCAGTTTTAAATGAAAGCAAGTTAACTCACAACCAAAGCTAAACAGTTGGCATCATTTGTAGTTTCCTGTTTTATTAAATCCATTTTGAAATCACTGGTTATCCTTGCAATCTGATTGGCTCTCAGTGGTGTGATTTATTCACGAATCGCACTATTTTTTGCTCTAAAGCGCATCTTTTTCTCAGCCAATGAGAATGGGACAGTTAAACAAAACAACCAATCAGATTTCAAGATTAGTTTAAAGTAATCAATAAAATTTCAGGAAAATGAAAGGCAAAAACCCATTGTGTGGAGAATTTTGCAACTACATGTACTATTGCCAAAACTTTGTTGTTATTGTTGTTTTCCAAAAAAAAATTGACGAATTTAATTAATTACAGTTTCTGAATGACGATTATGAGCTCCCTCAGGCTGAAGACCTACTTTAATGGAAGTCTCCAGCTTTCAGTGTCCATTTTGACGCATATTTTGGCGATTTTTCTTCAACATCCGCTCAAGATCTGTATGATACCGAGTCCAGTAAAACATAAACAAACGAAAACCACACAACGACAAATTCAGAGCCATCTCAAGTAGGTAGATGTTTCCAGGTTTCCGGTAGTTTCAAACGAAGCAACAAAAGAGCTCAACTCGGTCGCTGTGAATAAACATAGTCAAAATACGCCCCGCTCCACAAAACAGTGAATGAATGAACGTRTTACGAAGCTGGTGCAAGTCCCGCCATCCTGGAAATATCTTGAAACAAATGGCGCCGCAAGAACTTGACAAGGTCCTGAGTATTGAGTCCTTCGCCGAGGTCACAAAAAGAAATGGAGATGATAACGAGCTGCACACCCTAAAAAACATGCCATTAAACGGTATGAAAGAGAAAAAACGTACCATCCACTGGGCATCGTGCACTCGAGGGAGTTTCACAACTCAAAAGAAATCCATCGCAGAATTACGCAGGATGCACCTTCAAATTCCTTCTCCAAAGACAATGAAAAGTCTCAGCCTCAACCACAGAAGAAAGAAAGGCCTACCATCATTAATTCAGGTGACGAGAATTGAACTTTTACACCTGAAGTAGACTATATTCGCTCAGACTTCAAAACTGCTTGTTTCTTTGTCATGCTCGGATGAGTTTTCGTCACATGACATCGTTTTGCATACTAAATGAGACGTAAAGGCGTTTCCGGTTCCTCTTTTTCATTTTAACAAACCGGCTACTGGAACAATACACCAAAAAGCTAAAAATTAAGGCGATAAAATTGCGCGATTTCAAAATGGATCTAATAAAGTGGCAATTGAACTGAATGGAGTGCAATTTTGGTCTGAAATCATACTTGTGATTTCAAATCAAACTCGCGCTACGCGCTCGTTCAATTTTGAAATCACGCGTATGATTTCAGACCAAATTGCACTCCTCTCAGTTCAATTACCATTATTTACGGGATATAATATTAGAGATTTACTTACATACATACACGCATACATACATTTTATTTTGTTTCAAATTAAAATTATGATTAGATTTAACGGCGACCATTGTGTTAATATAGATATGTATTTCGGCAACAAATATTGGACAACGAAGAGGACTCAACGGTAGACACATGGGGTAATAAGTATGTGTAATCAAATGGTGACCAGATCTAGAGAAATAAGGAAGTTAATTCACGCACGCTTTGTCAAAATTCTTATAATTTTCCGAGTTTCTCAAATTTCGCCTAAAATTGGGGATATTATTCGCCAAATACATTTTGTATTTTCTTTTTTAAAATATATGTATTAATGTTGTAAACACAAAAGGTGACCTCTCGGAAGATTGGTTTTTTAAGAACAGAAAAATTCTTTTAAATTTACAAAGAAAGAATTTCGCCCAGAAAACTAATATTATTCATGAAAAAACAACTGATTTGATACTTATGAAATCAGTTTTTGACGAAGAAATATTATTATGAACTAAGTGGACATGCAGGCAAATAAGCAATTCAATATGAAATGGACGAAATGGTTGTAACCTTGACCATATTGAATTTTTTAAATCCCAAAGGTTATTTTAAAATTAAAAAAAATTGCTTTTCATACCGTTGATCACGTCGATCATGGCTATGAATTTGCCGTGATGTCGCCGCTACCCAAACAAAGCTTATCGGAAAATAGTGAAGGTAAAATCTATAATACCAACTAAACTGAATAATGAGGCAGAATTAAGTAAACAGTATCGATGTACTTGCCTCGGATAGGTAAATTGTTTGCTAAATGTGTTCGTTTGAATTTCAGCTTCTCTGTACACTGATGTAGTTATGTGCTCAGTTAAGACTACATAGAAATTGAATGTTAGAACAAGACAAACGTAAAGCGAAATATTTCAAGGAAAGTGTTAACCAAAAGGCTCCATCACTGATGAACAGTCCCGTTTGTATTCATCATTGTTTCTGCTATTCTAGAAGTCAGTTTTACTATCTGATTCGTTAAAGGCAGTTTGAGAGCGAAAACAGGTAAAACATTATCTTCACGCGTCACAAGCTAAGTCGGACGAACGTACATGCAAATGTTAGAAATCTTTTACAATACTCTTATATTGTATTTATAGTACAGTACAAAAGGTCAATGAAATAAATGATCAGATTCCACGGATGTTTGTATATATACAGCTGTTTCTACAAAGGTTGTCCTACAAAAGCGTACCGACAATGCCGATTGGTATTATGGTAGTCATAGTTTGGCGTTGCTTAGTTAAGGTAAACTTGAGGTTCACTTTGTTTCAGCAAGAAGGAAGAAGAAAGCATGAATACACGTGTTTCTCCTGTTTCCGTCATTCACGCTGAAACACCTTGAGCTTCAATCAAGCAACCCGCTAAACCACCATATCGCATAATACATTTCAACATTGTCGCGTAAACTTTTACGCCTTTGTAGGACAACGTTTTTTTGAAACAGCTTTATAGTAAATAAATATTGGTCGAGTTATTATTTTTTTTTTGCAAGATCGAGCCACAGATTTAAGTGGTCTGATCGCACTACCCAGGGAACCAATAAGAAGTCTCATTTTCGTCTTAGACCAGTTCCCTAACTTCCCCATATCGTAAATAGAGGATATTACACGGTGGCGAGAAGATATGAATTTTATGTTCTCGTGGCAAGAACAATATCTCACGAGTGAGCGAAGCTCACTCGNTACGGAAAATACGCCACTCGGGTCCCGGATGAAGTGGCGTATGGAATCTACGAGTGGTTTAGTTCCCAGTAAAACACTCTTCTCCATATAATAATATAGAATATTAATTTGCTGTGGGATGACTTGCAAAATACATAGCGGGTTTTAGCATTACCCTGAAAAACAAACGGACAATTACAAAACTGGTTTATTTTGAGACTGCTTCAAGATTCTTTTAGAAAATAAGAACTGTGGGATGCTCGACTCGCACTTTGAACGCGGTTTTTTTTAAGGAAATAATCAACATCAAACATAGGGACACCAAGAGAACAAAAATTGAATGACGGCTGCCAATTATAAAATTGTCAAGGACTTATGGAAATGCGTGAAAACAACAATGAAATAAAATGTGCAGAAGAAAACCCAGAGAATGAAGAAATCGAGCTGTCCCGTATTTTATGACATGGCTAGCACGCCATCAACTCAACACATGTATACGTAAGCTGCATCATGATCCAATAATGTACGCAATGGGGTGAACAAAGTTAACTTGACATCACCATTTCCATCAACTCAGCTGCGCCTTGAGAAACTCTTAGGCTTCTTTCGTACTCTCCAAACTTGCAAAGTGGACTGCGTCGTAACTCGATAATGTACGCTACAGCAGGAATCAATTGTTAATTGTATCGAGCTTAGGTAACATACGCAGGTATTTCCTCTCAGAACAAAGTATAGGAGACAAATATAAACAAACGTTGGTTGAATTGTGTCACAAAAATGAAAGTAAGCTTTGTACTAATTAACAAATTAACGATTAATTTATACCGTTTCTATGGAATACTGAAGAAATGCGTGTCGTAAGTTTACAAATGAGGGTGTATTTATAGATCAGCATTTAGCTTGGCATCTTGTCGTCATTAACAACATCGCTGGACGCGGTGTATGTTTGTTTGTTTGGTTCGTTACTTATTACATTGTTGCACAAGGCTGTTAGTTTCATAATTGGTCGTTGATTCGCTGTAACTGTATAAAACCAAAATTAGATGTGGTACAAGCATCATCCACTTTATAACTTAATGTTTTTACTGTCATATTGCAAATGAAGGTTATCGTCGAGAAAGTGGAACTGCCGTACGTTTCCGTCATTTCAACAAGCGGACATTGGACGCATATGATTGTTGTGACTAGTAATAGGCAGCATGCAGCTCTGCGACTCGCTTCAACATCAGAACGTGATTGGTGTCCAACTTAAGATGACCGCTGACCTCTCGCCACTGAACACCAAAAGCGTCATTACCAGCCTAATTCACAGGAGAGAGAAAAACAACATATACAGCTAAAATAACACATTGCAAGAAAACTCAGACATGTTACACAGCTAGACTTGGCATGGTTGTGAAAAAGACGGTTGGATGGTGGACAACGACGCCAGCTATAAAAATTTAAGCCAAAAATTCAAAGCTAATCAATCTTTGGTTAACTTCAGCCGACTTTGAACTGGCCCTCGTGACTAACGAAGCATGCATGCAAACGCAAATTAAATAAAACTCAATAAATAATAAATCCCTTCGCATGTGTATAGAGGCGTTTTTAATTGAGGGTCGTAGAAAAACAAAGCAAAGTAATCACTCTGGCCAATCACAAAGGACATAGAACCAATCTCATAAGCCAATCAAAATTCAAACTAATTTCACGCAGCTGACGCAAAGCGCGGGAAAACGTGTGGGGACGAGTCTCGATTGGTTTTGGTTTTACTTCTGACTAGATGAAAAAGTGGCACAGGTTTTTGTAGAGCTGAAGTGAAAAGCGTTCTAAATTATTGGATAATGACGACAACTACAACTACAGGAAAAAAGTCAAAGCAAATCAATGTTTGGTTAAGTTCAGCCGAGCAACTGGCCCCTCTGACTAAAGAAATAACCGTGCAAACTAAAGGCAAAAGAAAAGAATAAAATAAAAAGTCAATAAATACTAGACCCCCACGTATGTGCATAACGATACATTAGATACATGCTGTTATTAATGCTGTTAAAATACATACTTTTAATTGAACGTCATCAAGAATTTCTCCCGTGTCATCATGAAAGTTCGTAGCTATAGTTTCGATCCAAGCGTTGTCTGTGTTGCGAGGATCGTCAACGTATCCCTTGTAAACCTGTCGACAAAATCAGAGTCCTGGCATGAATGGGACTATTTTTATTTTACATTGAGTTTCCATTTATCAATTTTACATTCAGCTGTGTTTGAGTCGTTGACTGTATTATGATTCATTAATGAAAATAACGTTCAAAATGGTCGTCATTCAACGTAACTTCAAACGCGTTCCTTTTATTCCTCCACAAAGCATGAGTGACGCATCACGTATTTTTCGTGTAAGGGTAATGCGTCTGATTTGCTAACCGAGGTCTTAACCATGTTTTGGTATAGAATGTTTTCGCATGACGTCAGGACGGCTAGATTGTGTTTCCAACCAATGAATCCTCTCCACTAATATGCCGCCGTAACATTTCAAACGCATTTCGAGCCTATCATAGAAAGGCGTATTCAGCTCTCAACGTTAAACATTTTTTTACATCATTAAACGCTTCCTGTTTTTAAACTGCGGCATGTGATCACCATTGCTTACAAAAGATGCACAAGACAGGGGGTTGTTTCTTTACTACGTGTCGTACTGAACAAACTTAAGATTTAGGGAGTTAGAGACGCCATGGTGGGGCACAATCATGATGAAACTGAACTTTTGCCCTTGAAATAAAGATGAACAAAAATGTGAAAAGCAATAGTATTTTCATTTGAGAAATGTACTATTTGTCAATTTAGTATTGTAAGCTTAGAGGATGGCAAATAGAAATGTAATTGTACGAACTCATTTGTTAAACCGTTCAACATCAGTATTTAGGTTTCACGTGTGCTTCAGGAGAGCGGTGTTCTTTATTGTTCTTTACTTTGGAAAAAGCACAATAATAGCGTGGAAAGAAGAATTAAAAGGCAATTAAACGGGGTTTTCTGTGGTTTTACTTACCGGGATACCGTTGGCAAAAAGTTGCTCAAGACGTTCAGACATAAGTTGCCTTTCTTCCTCAGTGGCATTCTCAGAACACAGAGCTTCTTGGTTAAATTCCTTAAGAAGAGTTGTTGAAACGGTTTCATCGACCTCGACAGGTCCCTGTCGAACAAAAAAAACATCTAAGTACAAATATTTGAGAAAACGTAAGGAAAATGGGGGTGGACACTTTTCTATCATGTCAGCGGGTATCCAGAAAAATATGAAAAAAATAAACAAACAAAACGAAACAAACAACAACAGCAGTAATAGCCAATTAGAAATGGAACCAATCACATGACCTAATCTGAGTCACAATGATGATTAAGGGATTTGTTCTTAACCACAAACCTCTGGTAAAACCCATTCCAAAGTGTCCCGTCTTTGGAGTGCAACGAACTCCAGAACACGCTTGTCAAATCGCTCTACCAGCGTGCCATCTGGAGTTCTTTTCCATCTAAAAGGAGAAAGCAAAGCAAAAGGACTTGGTAAGTTCTTGTTGATTAGACAATTGACAATACCACAGGAATAAGAGTCAAAATTCTTTGGAAATGCAGTTCGACTTCACTTGGCTTAAGAAACGCCCCACACCCCTAGAACACTTGTAAATCTATAATTACAACCACAGGCACTGCTGGGCTTCGGTTTACCTCGTGACAATAGGATCAGCGACGTGATTTGGTCCCCAGCGACCCAGAAGGCCTCTTGCTGCGATCCCTGTTCGTCCCATTGGGTTTCTAGCACAGAGCGAAATGGAAAAAAAAAAAAACCACTAGCTCCACTTAAATGGACAAAAAATATTACCGTCCTAAGTGGATAGTCATTAAGAAATAGAACACTTTTTCTGTGTTTACATAGCCTCATCTAAACACGAGGAGGGTTCGGAGAATTCGAGACAGTTACTCGACTACGTCTCGGGTTTGCATAACTTTTTTTTATACTTTTTTTTATAAAACACAAGTCTGTTCACATTAACTGAACGTAATTATCCATACAATACTGACTGTCGTATTTAAACCTGAACCGAGTAAAGGTTATGCAAACCAGTAAAAATTATTGAATTATGTTTCCGCTTTCACAAAACCGTCTACATTGAGGGCCAAGATTATTTTCGCTGAAAGAGATAGCTAGTTAGTATAGGGTTATAAAAGGCTGGAGTTTTGTTCATTTCAAACGAACAATATTGAAAGAACTGAGGAGTGTTACAAACCGTGGTATGCCATCAACAACATTGTAGATTCCCTCATAGCTTCTTCTGTCCACACCTTTTCCCACGTCATTGAAATTGAGTTGTACATGTTGATAAGCAGGCCTGAAAGAATCAAACAAGCAGTTCAGTAATATTGGCGTCCTTATGTCGAGCTCAGTAAAGGGATTATTTAGTAAACTAGTTGTACCTATCGGTAAGTGCCAACAAGTGAATTGAGTTAATAAACAGGAGTCGACTGAATTTTGTAATATTTATTTGGGATAATTCTAGTATAACAGGTGTTAAAATCAATTTCTTTTAGTTAATGTTTCAAATTATTGCTGTAATTAAACACAACATTGTTTATTTTTCAACTCAGTGAACAAAACGCTAAACACTTAATAGCGGAGCCCCATACTCATATAGGAAAGAAAAGGAAACCCATGAGTTGATTTTCATATGGTTATCATGGCTAGCGGTATTGCTCGTGGGCGCGTACGCACGACGGCGACGACGACG